AAAAAGTATACTCCTTTTAGAACATAGTTCTTAATCATTAGGTTTGGTTAAAATTCATATTTTTTCTCTGTTTAGAACATAGTTCTTAATCATCAGGTTTTGTTAAAATTCATATTTTTTTAATGTAATATAATTTTGGTTTTGATCGAACGAAATTGTCTAATTTTCTATGATGTTAAAAGTTGTATTGTATTGACAGGGTATTTTATTTATTTGTTTATTATTATTTGTTTTTTTTAAGAAAAATTTAGTCTCATTTGTCAATCTCGTGGATGTCAATTCCATCAAAATTTCCCAATATACATCCTTAGTTTTGAATACAATTATATTTAAAAAAAAAAAATTTGTATCCAAGTATAAGGAAAAAGAAAAGAAACTTACCCTCTAATAAAATCTATTTGCCATTGCCAGATTATTATCTTTACGTTGTTTTTAAATCTTTGCACAACACTTTTTCAACACAAATTTCGGTCATACTTGCAAGAGTGAGGATTGAGGAACAAGATTTCAATTTGTTTATTTATTATTTTTATGCGAGAGCAAATTTGGGGTATAGTTGGACTTGTGAGAGCTTGGAAACAACATTCTGAAAAAAAAAATGAGAACATTAATTGAAGTGAAGAGAACTGGAATAATGTGTAAAGTTCATCCGTTTTTCATTGTGTTCGACAGTTTTCATGCTCCTATATCACAAGATAAATGCAACTTACGTTTCTTAAGGCTCAAAATGGACAAAAGCAGGTGTATTGCCACAAATGAATCCCCCAAAAAGCTTGTTCAGAATTAATGTATTTTCGTCTTTATTATTATTATTATTATTAGGATTATTAACATTGATGCTCTCTGAATTTTAGGGTTATTATCAATTTATTCATCTGAACTTTAAAAATTCTTATTTTATCCTATGAATTTTGAATTGTTCCCACTTAACATTTTTTATTGTATTTTTTTGTTAAAAACGGATGAAAAAAGAGGTTAAATGTAACCATGTGATTTTTATGTATTTATTTTTAACAGAAATTCAAACTGAATGACCACGTGACTACATCACTCTCTTATTTTATATATGCTTTTAACAGAAGTTACAAGAGAAAGGATTAAGTGTGAACAATTTAAAGTTTAACGAATAAAATATGAATTTTTAAAATTTAAGGGGCAAAGTGGGAATGAATCTAAAGTTCAGGGGCATCAATAAAATTAACCTTATTATTATTACTGTTGTTGTTGTTGTTGATGAAAGTGGGCATGTATCTAACATATAATGTAGCGAGTAAAGTCTATCAATAATCGATACACTAATATTTCTCTTTTTAAGTGAAATTTTTTTATACCACACATGACTAAATCTCCAATTCCCACCCAAATCCCACCTCATTTAAACTCCCCAATGCTACAAGACCTAGAGGTCTTAAGCTTCTAAGTGGGAACTTAAAAAGTAAATAAATTTCAAAGGTAATCTTGATAAATACTCTTTAAAAGTGCATAAATCAAAATTTTTATCATTTACTCTTAATTTATAATCTTTTTTTATCAAATAATTACACTAACAAAAATGAATTTATCAAGAATAAATGATAAAGGTCTATACACTCTCAAAGATAAATCCTTTATTTTTTCAAAATTTTTTTCTATCCAACCATTTACCTCTTTTAGTTTCTGTTGACGGTCAAATTTCGCCAACAAAAACCGGCCGGGTTACCTCTTGGTTTCCCTTGGGATTACCGGCCAGTGTGTAGTTAACGTATGAGGATTCGTTGAGTATGTGTGTTTGTGTGCTAACTAAATCATGTATAGACAAACGACACAAGGAATTTTATAGTGGTTCACTCTATAAAATGAGAGCTACATCCACTGTGATTTTGTATTTCTTTTGAGAAGATAATGATTTTACAGCAATTGATCTCATTAAATCTCTTTTCTCTTTGCTGGAATTTTCTGACCCCCTTCCTTACTGGGGGTCTTCCTCGTTTTATACCGGGCTTCCTTCGCTTAGGGGGTTTCCGTCATACGTGGAAGCACAGGGCGTGGGTTCATATCCCACAGCTGTCACCACAAAAACTTGTTGTGAAAAATCGTAACGCAAGTATACGCTATCACAATCAAGTAATATAATAGTGAATAAGAATATCGTCCCACGATGATTGTTGTTTACTAATTACTGAAATTATATTAACCCTAATTTTATTTGAATACTTGAAAAGAGAGTTTATAAAATTAAGTAAAGTAAACTAAAACAATTAAATAAATTAAACAATGCTAAGCAATGGATGAAAATTCAATAGATTAAGATTCTAGGGTTTCCGATTTCACCAAATTAATCATGTTCAAATTCTCATAATTCAAGAAAATTAACATTCAATCCTATACTGACAGTAATTTCTCTAAAACAATTATTATTCTTTCTCAAGCAACAATAATATTAATCCAACAAGCAAAATCTACATCTCTGTCAAACTTCTAAACTTGTTGAAAATCATTAAGTACAAGAAATTCAAAAGAAATGCACAAGCATCATAGATATCTCTATCCTATGAACAACTCATGGTATTTCAATTAAGAGCTTATTCAATTATCACCTCTCAGTCTCAAATCAAATACAAAATCATGTAATAGTTGGCCAAACAATCACAAGCATTAAGAATAAATTGAAATACTCAGCATATATGGATTAAACATCAATTACTTAAAAAGAAGATTGAGAATTCAAACATTCATAATCCGGCTACATCGTAGCCCTAGAAAAAGGAATTAGTTCATCTCTAAACAAAATAAATTCCTAAACAAAGTCTTAATCATTGGAAATGAAAGAAAAGAACTAGTTTAGAGTTGAATTGAAGCGTCTCCGTCTCCATATTTGAGCCGTTCTTCTTCTCCATCCCAATTCTCCTTTTTCTTCTCTTGAATCTTCTCTCAAAAGCCAGCCGTCATTCCACAGTCTAAAAGTCCTTTCGTAGCGCCGCGGCGCTGAGTTTCTAGCGCTGCGGCGCTGAGTTTCTAGCGCTGCGGCGCTGTTATGTAAAATCCCTGGGCGTTGCGGCGCTGTATGGGCGCCTAAGCGCTGCCCATTCTGCCCCAATGCACTAATTCCGTCAGATTTCAGCGAAATTTGTCCAAAACCTTTCAAATCATAGACTTTCAACTAACCTTCAAACAAAGAACAAAAACACACATAAAAACTAACAAAAACCTCGAAAACCAACTAAATATTAAGTGTAAAACGATACTAAATGAGCGAGTAAAACTCACTCATCAGCTTCCTTCGCTTAGGGGGTTTCCTTCATACGTGGAAGCACTCAAGTGCTCTTCCTTGGTAGGCCCGGACGTAGCCCACTAATCAGCGCTGTTCACTCAGCCAATTAGTCTCATATTACGGCTTTGTGCTTATCCGTAATACTTTTCTGTCCCCTGTGGGGCGGTTTGAGAGCTTGCAATTAATGCCTGCAGACGTCTTCCATTTTTGCACGCTACCCGTCACGTCCTCTAAAGAACGTTCCCCTCGTCGTCAGCGCTGTTTAGCCCAATCGCGCTCTTTGGCGGTCCTTTCTGCGGTCGAGGGATCTTCGCGCCTCAATCTCGACGGCGCGATCTGTCGACGCCATAAGGGATCGTCGCCCTAATTTGGACTTCATGCTTTGGGCTTTCCAGCGGAATAGGAGGGGTCCGTAGACGTCAAGGGTTTTTGCTTGGTGGAGAGTAGTCAAGGCCACATGCCACATTATCATTCGTCCATGTGTCCGTCACATTTTCTCACACAACAGTTTCTATTTTACGGGCCAAATTTGTACGTCATGTAAGAACAGAAAAAGGGTATCCATCAAATTTACTGCTAGATTATTGGACTCTCACCTTTGATTTCGTTTCGCCGCCGCCGCCCCTTTACGGGCCAAAATTTGTACGTCATGTAAGAACAGAAAAAAGGTCCATCAAATTTACTGTTAGTCCCCCCCCAGGTCCATCAAATTTACTGTTAGTCCCTTTTGCACGAAGTTTCCTTGCTTTATTATATCCTTCATCTTTTTTCCTTCTTTATGGCCTTGAGCTAAATTTTGGGTCCACCGATGTTTTTTTCGGAGATATTGAGCTCCAAATTATCAAATAATAAATTGTGGTTGAACAAATATCTAAAACTTGCTATCATTAACGTTAAATTCTCAAAGTCAAAACTAGCCTTTTCTCTAAAACTTGCTATCATTAACATTAAATCTGAAATGAAACTATATATTATTCATAAAAAGCCTTGCGATGGAAGGGAACGACCATGTCATGACAAACCCAACCAATGGAAAAAACACATTCCAATCCATCACCATCAAATGAACAAATCGCCCCTTTACCTAGCTAACACGTTGATGTTTGTTTTTAGGTCTTGTTCTAGGCCGGTTGGACCATCCAACTCTTTTTTTTTTTTAATTTATAATTTTTTTTTTTTCTGAGTAGGACATCAAATTGGTGCCCTTTGTGGGAATGTGGCTTCGTTGTAACGTTTTACCAACGACTAAATATATCATCATGGAGTTCAATGACTATGGAAAAAGCACATGGCTTGCCATTTTCCCTGTTCAAGGCATCCAAGAATCATAATTCTTTTAAACTGACAGCTCATGATACGTGGAGAGTAGTATGTATCTATTATCTGCTCTTTGTTCTTCTGATAAAAAGTCGTAACTCGTCTTACATTTCTTTTTCATTTCAGATTTTTTTGTTTTTTCAGTTGGGTTTCTAATCATTTGAGCACTTACCTTGCATAAATGTTAAACGAGGCCAATTTTGTTCACTTTCTATAATTACACTAGCATTTGGCTTTAGCTAATGCACATTGACTCTTGTGATGGCCAAGTACCGGAGTTTGTTGTCCTTGATTTTGCTCTGTTTTCTTTTTCTCTGATTCAAGTTTCGTCTCTTTTTTTTTATTTTTTATTTATTTTTAAAACAAAGCATTAGGGATCTATAAATCCATCGGTCTGGGGACTAGGAACCACAACTAGTGTATTGCTCTTTATAAATGTTTTTTTAAGTACATTAGTCCTCTCACTACTCTTTCTCCTAACCCTAGCTAACTGTTACATCTGTCTTCTAACATCTCAGACAGAGTAAAGGTCTCTTTATACAATTTGTGTTAATCCACCATCCCAACTTTCCTTAATATTGTAACCACCACTTCGAGAAACACACGAAACCTCCCCCCAACTGCACAAGAAACAAAGTTCACAACTCAGCTCATTGAATTGAACAACAACCATCATGAAAGCTAGTGAAACAAATGGTTGCTTAGATGAGCAATTACTATACAAGCCAATTCATTACCTGAAAATAAATATTTAGACAAATTGAAGGCTCTTCTCTATCGAAAGGAGGGCTTTTGGGAACACTTTCGATCTTCTTCAGAAAGATCTCCCACCAAATGGGCGCGTCTCTTTTGCCATTTATAGTCCCAATTCGATGACAACATTCTGAAAGGACTCTACGAGTGCGCATTATCATCATCCGAATCACTCCCAGAACTACTTCCCGAATCAGAATCTGTAAACAGCCCAGCAAGCAAAGATTGAAGCACATTTCAGCAAATAACCGCAATCTCAAAATTCCAAAGTGGGTTATCTACCCATATATCAAATTTCAGCAACAATAAGTTGCTTTCTGAATTTCAGAATTAGGCATAATTCACAATTGGGTTATACCACTAGAAGAGGAGGAATCACTGCTCGAACTGCTGGTGCCGCTAGAGCTACTGCTGCTGGCGTGGCCCCCTCCAATATCTTTCTCAATCTCCACCGGCGGAAAGTTGTTCAACGGCATTTCATCGCCAATGTCAACATCCTCATCACCGCCTTCTCCTTTCTTAACCCTTTTCGGCTCCGCAACGACAGAATCAATCTTCTCGCTGCCTGCTAATTCCTTTTGAAAAAGAGATCGGATTTTCATTATTAGCCAATGTATAACAAAAGACACAGTCAATAAATGATGTAAATTTAGTTAGTATAGCCAAACTTACCGCATTGCCTTTGTTTGGTGCCACATTGCTGTTATTGTTGTTGGCGTTGTTCATGAGGGCTTGCCGCTTGATCTTGCTGACCATCTTCTTCCAATTGGTGACGAGCCGATCAAGCTCCCAAAGCGTCTCTATGTCGACGGCTTCGATGTCAAGCTCGATTTCGTCACCGTCCTGTTTCAAATGGCCATTCCTCTTCCTTATGATCTGCACAACCTGATCCATCTTCTCCTGCGGCAAGCTCTGCAACCCGATTCCTAGCTTTTGCTTCTCCTCCATACTCATCTCCCTCTTGTTAGGATCCTTTGCCTTTGGCTTCGGCTGCTTTAATGGTTTAACCGGTGGGGCCCGCATCGGCGGGGATGGTGTCCGCACCGGAGACTGCAACTGCACCACAGGTGGAGAATTGGGGATTGGGTTCGACGAGCTCGCTGGGACCGGCGGCGCCCTAACAGGTGGCTCAGGCTTCTTCTCTTCCCGCTTCTTCGGCCTCTCCGGCTCCACGTGATCCCATGAACTTGCCTGCAAATCGTCATCAAAAAGCCGTTCGTCTCCCAATTTCTCGCTCACCGGTCGGAATAACTCCTCGAATTTCACAAGGAGCTGCTCTGCAATGGCGTGTACATCGTGGCCCTTGGGATTGTAGGTCACGGCGTTCTGGAACGTCAGCCTCACATCTGCGGCGAAATCCGACGGAGAAGAGTAAAGATTTTTCGAAAGGTTCAACTTTACGGTGCCGAGATCCATCGGACGCTTAATTATGTCGAAGTAATCGTGAAGCCCCATGCCGATCACATCCACGGGCTTGTTGAAGATCCACGCGTGCTTCTGCTTCATCAATTTCGTCATCAGCTGCGAGCAATTCTTCATCAAATTCGCGTTATCCGGATGCGATCTCTTCAAATGGGAGGAATCTTTGCCATGATTCGAATTCGTCGGGAACGGCCTCTTCGAACCAGACAGCTTCTTGCTAGGGATCGGTTTCTTAGGTTGAAGATGATGATGATCCAAATCCGACGCTTCAATTCGGCTCTGCAATTGGCGAATTCGATCGAGCTCCGACAATAAGCGGTTTTTCAACTCGGAGAGCTCTTTTCTTGAATAAGATCCTATGTTGAAGCTCACGTATTGAGAGTGCCCCAAATTGAACTCGCTTGATCGCCGGTGATTGATCGACGACGCGTCGTCCGACGCCGTCTGCGTCACGGCCGGTGACTCGTCGATCTGACATCCGTTGAAATCGCCCGACGGTGCGTGGAATTGGTGGAATTGCGACTTCTTGCTTGAGTTTTTAGGGTTAGGGTTAGCGAAAGGGACTTTCCCCATGAATCCTGCTCCGGAAGCGCCGCCTCTGGGCTGCGGCGGCCAATCGGTGTCGTTCCGGTTGGCTAAGACGGCGGAAGCCATGGAAGTCCGGAATCGGAAACGGACGTCTTCGCTATGGCTCCGGTTGAGCTCCGGTGAGGGTTTCCAAGTGCAGGGATCAGATAAATCACCATGAATAAGCAAGAACGTGGCCCTCACGCGCCTCCGATTGACCCCACGCGCCGCCGATAAGTAAAAAAGAACAGGGAAGAAGCATGAGAGAAAACCTAGGGTTTGAAGTAGCTTACCCTAATCTGAGCGAGATTGAGAAGAGGGCTGGGCCGCTTCTTAAAGGCGTTGAGATCTGCCCGTAAAAGTTTCGGGCACAATCTAATCCGTCAATTTGAATTTCATCTCTAGTCCAACGGTAGAAAACGTGTTCTCTGCTGCCCGGGGCACTCGTCAAATGATCTGGCACCGACGGTTGGGATTCTATACTCGGTGCACGTGGCGATTTGGGAAACGTCCGATTGCCGTGGAGATTCCTGAAATGTGCGATCCATAATTTGGAGTGAATTTGGGAAGAATTTGTCGTGCATTTAGGGTTTTCAAAAATTCTGAGCGGTGTGGGACCCACAATTGATGACGTGGACAGAAAAGGGCCAATTGGTGACTCATGAGCCTCGGCGTGAGAAAGAAGGTTACGCGCGCACGATAGTGGTGATAGGTGAAACGCGTAAAGAACACCTTCCTCCTTGGTGAATGCGAGGGTGTTTTGGTAAATATGAGAAAGTGATTGGTGGCGTTCGAGACCTCTTCTTCTTCGGATAAGTAAGATTACGGTGTTGCCCTTGAGAAGATAGAATGACGATATCGACCTCGTACAAAATGCTTGGCGGAAAGTTTGCGGAAGTATTTTCTTGGAATGTATCACAAGTTTAGTTCACTCATTTAAATTTTTAATTTAAATTAAGATATAATTTTATGTAAAAATTTTTTATTATCATAAAAAATTAAATATGATTATTTTTAAAAAAATTTATTATAATTAAATTTAAATAGTAAAATAAATAGAACTTTAAAAAATAAAAAAAATAAATAGATATTTTTGTCAAAAAACTATATTAAATATTGGTGGGTGAAAAGAACTCAGTGAATTTATTTAAGTTATATATATAAAAAGAGTTTAATGAATGTTTGTGCAGCGAAACATTCATTCTTGATTAAATTCGTCTACTTAATTACTGATATAATTATTTTCAAAAAAAATTATTGATATAATTTAGTACTACTAATAAATGTTTCCTACTATGAAAAGAAGTTGTTGGGGGCTAGTTATAGTTAATGGAAGTACCTTCTAACTAATCTTGAGATTTTTTATGCGATTTGTTTGGGATAATCCTAAGAAATTATTTTTCTTTCGGTAGGTGGTCTTACGAAATTAAGATGCTAACATGATTTATTTATTTGTTGAGAAGAACACTATGTATAACTAATACGCCTTTTCTGAATTAAATTCCGCTTTATGCTTTTTATTAAGCCTAAGAGACTTTAGCAATAAAACAAAATAACAAATTGATACTTTTACACACTTTTTTTTTTCAAAAATAAAAAACCCAAAAATTGATAATTTTACATATGTCTAAGTTCTAACGATAATCATATTAATATCTTAGTCCCACACTTATTTTGTCTTTTATGTGTCAACTGTCAACTTGGCGAATCAAATGGTGAGCATTTGTGATTATATTTGGTCTTACAATTTATTTTTCCTCTCATATTTTGACAACTATTCTCTCCTTCCCGTACATGTTTTTAACATTATTATGACTCGATAATACATATAAACACACATACAAATCGCATATATATAATCCAACAATATCGTCTATGTATTAATGTATGCATATTTTATATAAGAAAGTAAATGTATACTATGGATTTTATTAGGCAGTAAATAGCATATTTTTAAAATTAAATTAAGTAAATCGAATATTTAATATTATTTGAGATACATAACCATTTACGAGGTACATGAATTATTTATCGTGTAAACAATTTATTTATAACTGATAAAAAATAACTTACATAGTAAAAAATATTTTTTTTTGGGAAAAAATCGTTGTACCAGTCGTAGAAAGAAAATTTACGTTGAAAAAAATATTTTTAATAGTCATAATGAATCATTTACGCGATAATGATTCATTTACCAAGTAAACTACTATTTACTTTAAATCACTTTAAATCTACTATTTACTTCATTTAATTTCATAAATCTGTTATTGACTACATTCTCCCTTTAACTTCTGCTTTATTTTCATTTTTATAGGATTATTTTATTGGGAAAATTAAAGAACTTAAACTTACATTTAGAAGTTTATTGGTCTATATTTTTATCTTTTACTTTTGACTAATACCCTTTTAACTAATATAATATTTGATTAAAAATGTATTAATCAAGAGTAATATTTATCTCTTTTTTTCAAGTTGACATAAAAAAAGGAAATAAGACAGATACCCCTTAAGGGGAGTTTGGTATGCATCAATCAGTTGGAATCATATTATTAAGAAAGTGATAAAAAGTAATATATGATTCCCAGGACATGCATCATCATGTTTAGTTACATATAGGATTTTGTTCTTAAATTCCTATAAATATCATTTTATTGTAATACAATATAATTTTTCTTATATAACCAACTATTTTAAATATTTTGCTAATGAAATTTATTAAATAGATTGTTATAGTTTTAACATCTTAGATTTTTTAAATATAATTAAAATATTAGAAAAATATATACAAATGTAAAAGAAAATAATCGCAATTAATTTTCAAATTAACTAAAGAAAACAAATAAAAGGTTGCCTCATTTCGAACCTTCCCTCTCATTCCTCCTCTTCCTCCTCCTCTCTCTCCCTATCTCTCTCTTCTTACAAACTCAAATCAGATTAGGGTTGATTCTCTCTCGCTCTCTCCCTATCTCTCTCTTCTTACAAACTCAAATCAGATTAGGGTTGACACGAAAAGGATGACGACAACACGACAACACATCAATCACAAGACGTTGGGGTAGGCTACGATGAAGGGGGCCTATGACGGTTAGGGCGGCTTGCAACAAAGAGGGTCTGCGACAGTTGAGGTTGCGATGGAGGGGGCTGAGATTGAAGGGGCCTATAGTGGTGGTCTTTGTCGGCAAACGATGGCCATATGGGTGGGGAGGCAATAGCCGGTGGCAGACGACTGAGCATTGGGGACAGGTTTGTAGGTTTGTGGTAGTTGGGCAAGTCATGATATATGGTGGTGGTGTGGATGGGTTGTGATTTTTGGTGTTTAGTGAGATTTCGATAGATATGAGATTTTTGAGCATCTGATAACACCTTGTTCGGTGTTATTTAGACTACCTTAAATAGGGAAAGTGAACCCTAACTTTCCTAGGAATGTAAAAACTAAAATACTTGTATCAAACATGAAAATCTTTAAAGACTTATTGGTTTCATTGGGTTATTGTTTTTCTCTTATAAAATTTTAAATTTCAAAAGTTATAATCAAGAATTACTGATTTGAACCCATGAGCCAAATGGGCCATAAGATTCTCATTTCCACCTCTAAGATTACTGCATGCCAAACATTCCCTTAGAGTGCATGGGTATAGATTTTTACACCTTATTCTTGATTAATATCCTTTTTAGCTAAATTAATATAGCCATATTAGTCAAAACGTTATTAATCAAGAGTAAGGAGAAAAATTCAAACCCATACACTTTGATGGTAAGTTCAGAAATTGTTTTTTTAAAATGGAATAATGTATTTAAAAATGAACTATGGGCCTGAACTTTTCTATTGGTTATGTTCAGATCAGACCGTTACTCAAACTTCTTTTCAAGTTTCAACCAAATATGAATATGAACGACAAAAAAAGGCAAGCTAGACGACACCAAATGGTGTTAAAGTAGATTTTGTGAATGAGAATGAGTAGTAATTGCAATGAAATAAACATCTTGATTGATTGGTGCATGAATGTGAGGAAATTAATAAGAGTAGAGAAAGGTTAAAGATGAAATGTAAAGAGCCAATGATTTTTAGTCATTCTGCCATAAATGAAATCTACACCTCTTGAGTCCACGATATAAATGAAGAAGATAAAATATACGACCATCACTGTGTGGTTTACTCTTTATATTCTCTCTTAGGGTTGCCAAAAAGACGCTTTACAAAGACTTTGGGTAGCTACCACAAGTTGAAGAGCAAAAGATGGTTTACAAAGCAAACATAAGTGAACTTTCTCTCTCTAGGGTTTGTAATTGTAAGCTTCTTATTGCGCCACCACTTTTTTCTTCCCTTGGGCTGAAGCCTGGCATTGCCTTTAGGTTGGTCATTTGGATATTTGGCTTGGGGAGGGGATGACTTAAAATTTCAGTTTGCAGTAGAAAGGATTGCAGCTGAATGATTGGCTAAGTAAGGGTGGCTCGGGGCTTGCGACTCTCAGCTTTTATGGGTTTAGATTGGGATTGCCAGAAGTCAAAATCAGTGAGCAGAGGACGAAGTTGGTCCGTCAGAGTGAGGATGTCCTTGGTTGGTGGTTGTGTTTGTCTTTTTCGAACTATGGTTCTATCTCTGCTTGTTTATTTGTTCATTTTATTTTATCCAATGAGTGCAATGCATTCTCTTTCGCTTTATGTAGTTTATTTTTCTAAAGTTTTCCCGTCAGAATTGTTTATGCGGTGTTTGTGCTAATCTTACATTTAGTTCATGGATTAGAATCATTTTCAATTTACGTGTATTTTTTGTGAGAGAAAATACTGTAGCGAACCATAAACCATGATTCAAATCAGGGTACGAATCCCCTTACCAAAGGTCACTCACATTTTAAATACTTTCGTTTTGACCCATTGGAGCTTTCAAGCGATTGTTGAGTTTTTTTAAGTGGACGTTTGGTTCATGAATTTAGAATCATTCTCGATTTACGTGTGTTTTTTGTGAGAGAAAATACTGTAGTGAACCACGAATCATGATTCGAATCAGGGCATGAATCCACCAACCAAACAACCCATTAGACCTAATTAATTGCTTGGGACTAAGTTCGTATGTGATTTTCCGTTGAGGAAATTAGGCGCATGTTTTTTGTCACCCTTTGCTCATTAGTAGATTGTATTGGTGCAACTAGCGACTTGTTAGGGTTAAGTGTCTTTATGCACCAAGGCTAGTGTTAGTGTGTGTATTTCTTTAATTTAGAATATAAATTACCTATTTTTGAAATCTATAATTACCTATTTTCTTTATTGGTAAGGAACCTTGCTATACGGCTCTG